GTATGACAGCTGCGTGGTCCCATGGTGTTTATACTTGCGTACTATTGTTTGTACAGATGAACGTGGTACCTTCAGGCGTTTGGAAATTGCTCCCAAGGATGAACCAGACTTGTGGAGGTCTACCATTTCTTTTCCTGAGGTCTTGGCTGATTTCTTTTGATTTTCCCATGATGTCAACCAAAGAGGCACTGAGTTTGAAGGTAGGCCTTGAAATACATCCACAGGTACACCTACAATTGACTCAAATTATGTCAATTAGCCTATCAGAAGCTTCTAAAGCCGTGACATCATTTTCTGGAATTTTCCAAGCTGTTTAAAGGCACAGTCAACTTAGTGTATGTAAACTTCTGACCCACTGGAATTGTGATACAGTGAATTATAAGTGAAAATATCTGTCTGTAGATAATTGTTGGAAAAATTACTTGTGTCATGGACAAATTAGATGTCCTAACCGACTTGCCAAAACTATAGTTTGTTAACAAGAAACTTGTGGAGTGGTTGAAAAACAAGTTTTAATGACTCCAACCTAAGTGTATGTAAACTTCCGACTTCAACTGTATGTACTGATTCGCGACATGATGTAATGACTATTAGCTACATGATGTAATGACTATTGGCTACATGATGTAATGACTATTGGCTACATGATGTAATGACTATTAGCTACATGATGTAATGACTATTAGCTACATGATGTAATTTTAAGTTACTTGACTCATCTTTACCTACAGCTCAACTGTATTCAGTCTAACCTAACAGAACGCAGTCATAACTTTTTCTTCAACTGATAACAATGATTTGACTCAGCTATGGCCAAGCTAAATTATTTTCCTCCTGACCTACTGCCACAAACTGTAAAGAATGCCAATACAATGTAGAGCATCAATGTAACAAGCTTGTTTTAGTTGAATTATTTGCCTTATTGTTCCATGTTCACCATTTTAATAGATTATTTTATCATTTTGAAGGACTGAAATCGGTTTGGTTTAATTGTACGTGTTCTGTAGCCTGGCAACCAGTCTATTCCACTCCTTACCACTCTGTTTCTGCTAGCATGTTTGGAATATGACACAGACTGGCACCCAGGCTTCATGTTCTGTACCTTTTTTTGATTTGTATTTTATTCAGGCCCTATTTGAACATTTTAAAAACAATTCAGCCACAGATGAGGGAACACTTCATTTAAAATCATAAAATATATTTTTTAAGTAAATGTTTTTCCTATTGTGGTGCTCTGAACCGAGAGGATAGTTGTCCTCTCAGATAAAAGATGCTTGATCTGTTGACGGAAGACAAACTGATGTAACTAGACATATTGGATACGTATGGGGACTGACAATAGACTTCTCCTTGGATTCAGACTTTTCTGTGTTGATTTTGAGGCTGAAACCAAGAAAAATCATAACAGGTAATCAAAATGTGATCACAAACTGATGGTAATACACTCACTGCCTTTAGAGATATGTGAATTCCTGATCATATAGCTAGCATTTGTCATTGTTTGGTCATCATCCCAATATAATATTAGTTGGTGCAGTAGTGGGTTCAGCTCATCACAACAAGCTTCCCTTGTTGCAGGATGAAGAACCAGAACTAGTAGAACTCATTCCAGAACTAGTAGAACTCATTCCAGTACTAGTAGAACTCATACCAGAACTAGTAGAACTCATTCCAGAACTAGTAGAACTCATACCAGAACTAGTAGAACTCATACCAGAACTAGTAGAACTCATACCAGACTAACTCATAGTTAACATACAAATACTCTAGAACTAGTAAAACCATCCAGAACTATTTTACCAGAACTAGTACTCATCCAGAAGTAGAACTCATACGAACAGAATCATACCAAACTATAGAACATACCAGTAGTTCTCTGTAAGAGCAGCAGGTAGCCTAACGGTTAGAGTGTTGGGCCAGTAACCAAAAGTCGCTGGTTCGAGTTCCTGAGCCGACAAGAAGAAAAATCTGTGCCCTTGAGTAAGGCACTTAACCCCAATTAGTTCCAGGGGCGCTGTACTACTATGGCTGACCCTGTAAAACAACACATTTCACTGCACCTATCCGGTGTATGTGACGATAAAACATATATCTTTTTTTTTGCAGCTAGATGGCGGTGTTGACCCGTCATCAACATAACACATTTCTATCTGATGATTCTGCCTTCCTTGGTCTGTTGAATGTGCTCCAGAGTGGAGGTTGCCCTTAAGGTTAGGGGTTATGAGCTGGTCAGCTAACCCTGTCCCAAACATGTTGGGGGTTATGAACTGGTCAGCTAAACCCTGTCCCAAACATGTTGGGGGTTATGTGCTGGTCAGCTAACCCTGTCCCAAACATGTTGGGGGTTATGAACTGGTCATTAAGTTAATTTGCATCATTAAAATGTCTGTGTTGTAGTTGTCAGTTTGTTTATATTGGTCTGTCTCATGGATGCAAGGTTCAGGGATTACCTGTTTGTGTGTGCGTGCGTTAGAGAGAGATTGTGTGTGTTCTTAGTGACGTGGCGAGCTCTAATCCCCCTTAAATCCAGGGCCCAAAGAGGATGGCCATTAGTGTAATGTCAGTCCTCCTTCCTTTCTGTGGAGTGTCAGTCCTCTCCTTCCTTTCTGTGTAATGTCAGTCCTCTCCTTCCTTTCTGTGGAGTGTCAGTCCTCTCCTTCCTTTCTGTGGAGTGTCAGACCTCTCCTTCCTTTCTGTGGAGTGTCAGTCCTCTCCTTCCTTTCTGTGGAGTGTCAGTCCTCTCCTTCCTTTCTGTGTAATGTCAGTCCTCTCCTTCCTTTCTGTGTAATGTCAGTCCTCTCCTTCCTTTCTGTGGAGTGTCAGTCCTCTCCTTCCTTTTATGTGGAGTGTCAGTCCTCTCCTTCCTTTTATGTGGAATGTCAGTCCTCCTTCCTTTCTGTGGAGTGTCAGTCCTCCTTCCTTTCTGTGGAGTGTCAGTCCTCTCCTTCCTTTCTGTGTAATGTCAGTCCTCTCCTTCCTTTCTGAGTAATGTCAGTCCTCTCCTTCCTTTCTGTGTAATGTCAGTCCTCTCCTTCCTTTTATGTGGAGTGTCAGTCCTCCTTCCTTTCTGTGGAGTGTCAGTCCTCCTTCCTTTCTGTGGAGTGTCAGTCCTCTCCTTCCTTTCTGTGTAATGTCAGTCCTCTCCTTCCTTTCTGAGTAATGTCAGTCCTCTCCTTCCTTTCTGTGTAATGTCAGTCCTCTCCTTCCTTTCTGTGGAGTGTCAGTCCTCTCCTTCCTTTCTGTGTAATGTCAGTCCTCCTTCCTTTTATGTGGAGTGTCAGTCCTCTCCTTCCTTTCTGTGGAGTGTCAGTCCTCTCCTTCCTTTCTGTGGAGTGTCAGTCCTCCTTCCTTTCTGTGGAGTGTAGCCTGTGTGGATCTGTAATGTCTGTCTTCGCCCTTCTGTTTCTCCAGTATGTATACAACCCCCACACAGTCCATCTACCATTCTCTACCAGCGGCAAACATTTCCAATAAAAAGTCATTTTTGTTCTACAGTCATGGTTTTTATTGGCATTTTTTCACCTTATTTTACAATGATGGTCACAGTCTGGAAATGTGTGAACAAAAGAGTGGCACTATTGCAGAGTATCCTCTCAGCTGGGAGTGTCCTACATACTGCTGGGCATGCTGTGGCGGCCATGTTACTTGCTCTATAATATTTATTCATAAGATGCTGAGTTCTATCTGCTGACGGACATGCATAACACACGTGAGGCTACTGTACATCACTGGGAGTAAGACCGAGCGGTTGAGCCGGACATAACCAAAGGTTGATGGGCCAACCATGAATGGCTGCTACTGCTTTGGAGCCCACCTGCGTTAAGTAACCAAAGCATTCTGTTCCTTGTTGTTCTCCCACCTCCTTAGCTCCTCCCATCCCCAGGCCTGTCTGAGAGGGGGTTTGGGGGGTATTTAGATACTCTGCCCCTGACAATGAGTTGATTATAGTACAGTTGGTTTGAGCATGGTGCTGCCCAAACCCTAGGTTGTGGGTTTCAATTCTCCACATGGGACACTTGGGCTCACGTACACTGAATGTGTTTATTGACTTTAGAAACTACCATTGGTGTACTGCTACTCATCTTTGTCAATGATAATGCAAAGTAACTTGCATTGAAGGCGTGAGCTGGGCTGAAAATGAGGTGCATCACTGGTCATGTTCCCAGCACAGTTGCCCATTGTCCAAATGGGAGTGTCTGGGAGGAAGATGACAATGTTGTGGGAGTTCTGACTCGTCTGGTTACTTACTTTCGTTTAGCATCACAACAACAACATTAACTACAGAGCACCAGTGTCTCACATGGACAACACTGTCATACCACTGACACATGGAAGAAACAACATGTAGTGTCCTGCTCATGTAAAGCAATAGTAGTCTGATGTAAAGCAATAGTAGTCGTGGTATCTGGGTAATGATGTAAAGCAATAGTAGTCGTGGTATCTGGGTAATTATGTAAAGCAATAGTAGTCTGATGTAAAGCAATAGTAGTCGTGGTATCTGGGTAATGATGTAAAGCAATAGTAGTCGTGGTATCTGAGTAATTATGTAAATACAGTTTATATAAAAAGATGAGCAAGACGGAAACGGAGAAAGAGAACTGCACAGGTGAGCAACAACCATCAAAGAAGCACTTTATACTTTAGGAGGAGAGACAGAATGGGGGGGTAGAGGAACAACTGTAGGAGGAGAGACTGAATGGGGGGTAGAGGAACAACTGTAGGAGGAGAGACAGAATGGGGGGTAGAGGAACAACTGTAGGAGGAGAGAGAGAATGGGGGGTAGAGGAACAACTTTAGGAGGAGAGACAGAATGGGGGGTAGAGGACGAGACGATTAACCAGGACTATCATTTTAATAAAAGCCAAAGAGACGACACAGAACAACATTTACAACAGGAAGAAGAGGAGGAGGGGGGTCTTATATGTGCAAACCTACTGAGAAAGTACCATGATAAAAGCATGTTTGGGGTGGGGGGGATTGAAAGCAGTTGTCGCTGCAGCTTAGCCCAACATCTTTGTGGCACGCTGGTTGGCTTCGTCGATCCTGGTCTTGTTGGAATCAGCCTGAGGAGAGAGAGAGTTGGGATGATGTGAAATCATACAAGCAATATCAATCAAGACTAAGTGCAAGTGGACTGTCAACTCAAAGATGGTCAGCCATACGCTAACACTGAAAATGTATTGATTGGTCGTCATTGATTTTCATCGTTATGATCATGGGATAGTACCTTGTCCATGATCCTGTCGATCTGGCGGTTCTGGGTGTCGATCTCGTTGCCCATGTCCAGGGCCATGTGACGCAGGTTACCGATGATCCCGCCCACCTGCTCCAGGTTCTCATCCATCTCATTCTCCCGGGCATCGTCCGTTACCCTGGAAACATACATTAGATATTCCATAAAACTGTCTGCAGCTTCGGCGTGGCAGAGGGAGTCCATGTACACACACAGACACACTCTTACTAACCCATGAACACAGACACACTCCTCACCTGCGGATGAAGCCCCCACTGATGGCCATCTGTTCACGTTCGTCCACCACACGGGCCCCTGGCTGACTGTTCACCACTCCATCCTGGTTGGCCCCCCACGCCTGGCCCCCACCCTTTATCCTGCAGGGACACACCAGTCAGGGTGTGTAGAGGTTTGTGTGTGTGGAAACTTTCATTTGATATAATGGGTACATTATACGACAGAAGCCATGCGTAATGACAGCAAGGCCGCCCACCAACACAGCATGCCAATGGTGTGTATATATACAGTGGGGGAAAAAAGTATTTAGTCAGCCACCAATTGTGCAAGTTTTCCCACTTAAAAAGATGAGAGAGGCCTGTAATTTTCATCATAGGTACACGTCAACTATGACGGACAAATTGAGAAAAAATAATCCAGAATATCACATTGTAGGATTTTTAATGAATTTATTTGCAAATTTGGTCACCTACAAACAAGCAAGATTTCTGGCTCTCACAGACCTGTAACTTCTTCTTTAAGAGGCTCCTCTGTCCTCCACTCGTTACCTGTATTAATGGCACCTGTTTGAACTTGTTATCAGTATAAAAGACATCTGTCCACAACCTCAATCAGTCACACTCCAAACTCCACTATGGCCAAGACCAAAGAGCTGTCAAAGGACACCAGAAACAAAATTGTAGACCTGCACCAGGCTGGAAAGACTGAATCTGCAATAGGTAAGCAGCTTGGTTTGAAGAAATCAACTGTGGGAGCAATTACTAGGAAATGGAAGACATACAAGACCACTGATAATCTCCCTCGATCTGGGGCTCCACGCAAGATCTCACCCTGTGGGGTCAAAATGATCACAAGAACGGTGAGCAAAAATCCCAGAACCACACGGGGGGACCTAGTGAATGACCTGCAGAGAGCTGGGACCAAAGTAACAAAGCCTACCATCAGTAACACACTACGCCGCCAGGGACTCAATCCTGCAGTGCCAGACGTGTCCCCCTGCTTAAGCCAGTACATGTCCAGGCCCGTCTGAAGTTTGCTAGAGTGCATTTGGATGATCCAGAAGAGGATTGGGAGAATGTCATATGGTCAGATGAAACCAAAATGGAACTTTTTGGTAAAAACTCAACTCGTCGTGTTTGGAGGACAAAGAATGCTGAGTTGCATCCAAAGAACACCATACCTACTGTGAAGCATGGGGGTGGAAACATCATGCTTTGGGGCTGTTTTTCTGCAAAGGGACCAGGACGACTGATCCGTGTAAAGGAAAGAATGAATGGGGCTATGTATCGTGAGATTTTGAGTGAAAACCTCCTTCCATCAGCAAGGGCATTGAAGATGAAACGTGGCTGGGTCTTTCAGCATGACAATATATATTTGTAAACCAACCAGTGGCCTAGCCAGTCTCCAGATCTCAACCCCATAGAAAATCTTTGGAGGGAGTTGAAAGTCCGTGTTGCCCAGCGACAGCCCCAAAACATCACTGCTCTAGAGGAGATCTGCATGGAGGAATGGGCCAAAATACCAGCATGTGATTTTCTGGATTTTTGTCCTCATTTTGTCTGTCATAGTTGATGTGTACCTATGATGAAAAATTACAGGCCTCTCTCATCTTTTTAAGTGGGAGAACTTGCACAATTGGTGGCTGACTAAATACTTTTTTTCCCCCACTGTGTGTGTGTGTGTATGTATATATATATATATATTAGATCTATCAATCAATAATTGATCCAAGTACTGATCAGTTCAGTTGTAGTGTATTTACTGTCTTGTCTATGTGGTTGATAGAAGAGACATAAACACACACTAACAGGACGTAAAGCAGCAGACAACACAGACAGACAGACACCAATAGACAGAGACAGACACCAATGGACAGACACCAATAGACAGAGACAGACACCAATGGACAGACAGACGCCAATGGACAGAGACAGACAGACGCCAATGGACAGACAGGAGGACAGACACGCAGTAAGGAGTAAGGACGCAAATACACAGTGCAAAAAACATTAGGAACACCTGCTCTTTCCATGACAGACTGACCAGGTGAATCCAGGTGAAAGCTATGATCCCTTGAGGTCTCTTGTTAAATCCACTTCAATCAGTGTAGATGAAGGGGAGGAGACAGGTTAAAGAAGGTTTAAGCCTTGAGACAATTGAGACATGGATTGTGTATGTGTGCCATTCAGAGGGTGAATAGGCAAGACAAAAGATTTAAGTGCTTTTGAACGGGGTATGGTAGTAGGTGCCAGGTGTACTGGATTGTGTCAAGAACTGCTACACTGCTGGGTTTTTCACGCTCAACAGTTTCCCATGTGTATCAAGAATGGTCCACCACCCAAAGGACATCCAGCCAACTTGACACAACTGTGGGAAGCATTGGGAGTCAACATGGGCCAGCATGCATGTGGAACGCTTTCAACACCTTGTAGAGTCCATGCCCTGACGAATTGAGGCTGTTCTGAGGGGCAAAAGGCGGCATCTCAATATTAGGAAGGTGTTCTTAATGTTTGGTATACTCGGTGTAGACAGACAGACAGGGAGACAAGGACAGACACCCTCTGGTTACTGGAGGGAAAAGGTGGTATGGTACAGTACAGAGGAAGAGCACCATTCTAGGAAGTCCAGTTCGGCTTAATTTTACTTTGACCTTATAGACGTTTCACTACAGCAGTTAAATGTGCATAAAACAATAGCTTTGAAATAAAACTATTGTGGCTTCTAGAGATACTAGTGAGCTACACGATCAAATTTCACACAAAATAACATTAACTCAACTTCCTGAAATGTTTCAACACACACATTAACCACACACAACAACGTAGGTCCCGGGCCTGTCATGTCAGGGACAAATTCTGGATTGATTATTTGAACACTTTACTTGAGCTTAAGAGGAAACCTTTCAATGTAAAGTTCAAGTTAGGTGCACAAATCTCAAAACGGACTTTGGACTGTTAGTTTGATTACAGTTTTCTCAAGCAATTTTGGGATCTGTGTTGAAACATATCTAATTTAAAGACCTTCTCTCCCTTCGGTCTCAATATAGAGTTTGATCTGAAGCCATTCCTGTGATTTCTGTGTTTTTTCTACCCATTGTAACTAATATTGTGTTTGTAAGCCTTTATGTTGTAGCCTACTTGGATCTATGATCGTATGTTATCCATTCATGCTTTTTTTTATATGTACTGTTGATATTTGTAAACCAACCAATGAAATCATGCCACAGACGGCCATGATTACAAACACCTGCATGTGTCCATCGAAACGACGCCAGGACAGCGGAGTCACACCACCTTCCGGAGACATTTGAAACCCCACCTCTTTAAGGAATACCTGGGATAGGATAAAGTAATCCTTCTACCCCCCCCCCCCCCCCCCAAAAAAAAAAAAAACATAGTAAAGTGGTTATCCCACTGGCTATAAGGTGAATGCACCGATTTGTAAGTCGCTATGGATAAGAGCGTCTGCTAAATGACGTAAATGTAAAATATAAAACCTATATAAACCTTATAAAACCCCCATATATAAACCCTATATAAACTGGTGACCTGCAGTGTTTGTCATTATACCCTGATGAAACATTGGAAATAAATGATTGCATCAGAGCGCTGGTAGAGCACGGTGCTTGTAACGCCAAGGTAGTGGGTTCGATCCCCGGGACGACCCATACACAAAAATGTATGCACGCATGACTGTAAGTCGCTTTGGATAAAAGCGTCTGCTAAATGGCATATTATATTATTATATTATTAGCTCCTAGAGTGTTTTCTTTCTGTATCTACAGCAGAACAGCAATGCTCAAATACATCTACACAACTTCTGATCATTTTTTGCTAAACTTTTAATAAAAATATCATCAGTCAAAACAAATTTCACTCTTTAAGTGTTTTGTTCACCGAACATTAACACATTGTCTTCACCAGAAGAGAAATGTGTGCAATTGTGTTCACTGTTTCCGGTAATCAGTAAACTACGGAATACACTGTGACCTGGATACCTGCTGAAAGAAAAACGAAGGTGTATGTGTTTCTGCCATGCATTCACATAGAAAGCCATAGGCAGTATGTTTGTGCATATTTACATTTTAGTCATTTAGCAGACGCTCTTATCCAGAGCGACTTACAGTTAGTGAGTGCATACATTTTTCACACTGGCCCCCCGTGGGAAACGAACCCACAACCCGGGCTTTGCCAGTGCCATGCTCTACCAACTAAGCTACAGCAGTAATCAGGTCATGCTAAATCGTACTGTAGGCCTACTGCCTCATGTTGTAGCATTATGTAACACGCTGACACAAGTATGTCATGTATGACTGGTTATTTGAAGGAGAAAGTACAGTGGATTAGCCCAGCATGCATCTCTCTCTCTCTCTCTCTAAGTGCAGAAGGAAGCAGCATAGAAGGCCTTGGGTAAGGTCTGAAGTTGACAGGCCATAGTGTTGTACTGGTCACCATATACTCTACTTAAGGCATTAAAGCAGGCAAGCAGACAGGTAGACAGACAGACAGGCAGGCAGGTAGGTAGGCAGACAGGCAGGCAGGCAGGAGGTAGACAGTCAGGCAGGCAGACAGTCAGGCAGACAGGCAGGTAGGCAGACAGGCAAGGCAGGCTGCACCTACTTGTTACAGGGACATGAACAAAGACCACAGAGAGACCCTAGATTGTTCAAATTCTTTTCTGCATCCTTCATGTCCTTATTGATCTGGTCCATCCCCTCCTCGATCCGCTCCAGTTGCTCTGATTATCAACACAAGTCATTCATCCCCACAAAGAACGAGAGCACGTGAGAAAAAAAAAAGGGGGGAGTGGGAGAGAGAGAGAGAGAGAGAGAGAGAGAGATGGAGGACAAAGGAGAGGAGACAAAAAAGAGACTGTGACAAGAGCGACGGACGTCGGACAGCACCACCAACACCACACAGGCTAGAGCCCTGACCCGTCGCCACCGGTTACCTACTTGGCAACACATGGACATAACTGGCCACAGCATTGCCCTAAACCCTTCATTTCTTTCTCGGCCTCCTTCAAGTCTTGGTTGACCTTGTTCATGCCATCTTCAAACCGATCCAGTTGCTCTGGTGAGGACAAAGGTAATGAGAGCAGTGAAATGAATCGGATTGGCTCTTGTGATGATTGAGCTCTAAGCTACAGCCTAACACAGCCATAATGCAATGCATTATGGGGCCACACTGACACACTCACAGCATTAAAGGCAGTGCATTGAGAGAGAGAGAGAGAAAGAGAGTGACAGATATACAATAAAGAACACAAAAAGGCTGGATTCCAATGCAAAACAACCTCCCTCATTGGGCACTCCTTCACCAACTGCTAGGGCCTAGGGAAGAGAGCACACCTATGAGCACAAGATGTTGAAAATACCTGTTCTTGGTTGAAAAGACTTAATTTAACCCATTTTTACTGGGACACGTTTGTATTGGAAACCAGCCAGTGGTTGGTGTGAGTGTGAGAGAGACAGCGAGAGAGAGAGAGGTGATAAACAGACTGAAGGAGGAGTGTAGATGAAGTAAATAAGTGTTGTGAAGCAGTGGATGAAGGGGAAAGCATTATGTAGTAATGTTTGAATGTAAGTTGGGTAGAAACAGTGATCACAGTCCATTCATCCCAAGAGGTTGCCCTAAACCACTGATACATGGTCAGATATTGGTTCATTCCCTAAATGGTGAGTTGGGTTAGTATTGTGGGTACTCTGAGCCCAGACCTGTAGTTAGGGTCAACATCTACCTGGAGTGGGTCCAGGGAGAAGGGAGTGGTCTGTAGCATAGGCAAGGCAGGGTAAGGGAATTCATGGCCGGGGTGGCTTGCTTGTTGATGTGTGAACATTTGTAAAATCCCTGGGTTATTAAGGAACCAGGAGCACTGAACTAGACATTTATTTATTCTGCTTCTGTTCTTGTTATATATTAGACATCTGGTTCTAGACTCTCTAGAGGTGGAATCTCTTCAACACTGACATCTGGTTCTAGACTCTCTAGAAGTGGACTCTCTTCAACTCTGACACCTGGTTCTAGACTTTCTGGAGGTGCTCTCTTCAACTCTGACATCTGGTTCTAGACTCTCTGGAGGTGGAATCTCTTCAACACTGACATCTGGTTCTAGACTCTCTAGAGGTGGAATCTCTTCAACACTGACATCTGGTTCTAGACTCTCTGGAGGTGCTCTCTTCAACTCTGACATCTGGTTCTAGACTCTCTGGAGGTGGAATCTCTTCAACTCTGACACCTGGTTCTAGACTCTCTAGAAGTGGAATCTCTTCAACACTGACATCTGGTTCTAGACTCTCTAGAGGTTGAATCTCTTCAACACTGACATCTGGTTCTAGACTCTCTAGAGGTGGACTCTCTTCAACACTGACATCTGGTTCTAGACTCTCTGGAGGTGGAATCTCTTCAACACTGACATCTGGTTCTAGACTCTCTAGAGGTGGAATCTCTTCAACTCTGACACCTGGTTCTAGACTCTCTAGAAGTGGAATCTCTTCAACACTGACATCTGGTTCTAGACTCTCTAGAAGTGGAATCTCTTCAACACTGACATCTGGTTCTAGACTCTCTAGAGGTTGAATCTCTTCAACTCTGACATCTGGTTCTAGACTCTCTAGAGGTGGACTCTCTTCAACACTGACATCTGGTTCTAGACTCTCTGGAGGTGCTCTCTTCAACTCTGACATCTGGTTCTAGACTCTCTGGAGGTGGAATCTCTTCAACTCTGACACCTGGTTCTAGACTCTCTAGAAGTGGAATCTCTTCAACACTGACATCTGGTTCTAGACTCTCTAGAGGTTGAATCTCTTCAACTCTGACATCTGGTTCTAGACTCTCTAGAGGTGGACTCTCTTCAACACTGACATCTGGTTCTAGACTCTCTGGAGGTGGACTCTCTTCAACTGAGACCTGGTTCTAGACTCTCTAGAGGTGGAATCTCTTCAACTGACACCTGGTTCTAGACTCTCTAGAGGTGGAATCTCTTCAACACTGACACCTGGTTCTAGACTCTCTGGAGGTGCTCTCTTCAACTCTGACATCTGGTTCTAGACTCTCTGGAGGTGGAATCTCTTCAACACTGACATCTGGTTCTAGACTCTTTGGAGGTGCTCTCTTCAACTCTGACATCTGGTTCTAGACTCTCTGGAGGTGGAATCTCTTCAACACTGACATCTGGTTCTAGACTCTCTAGAGGTGCTCTCTTCAACTCTGACATCTGGTTCTAGACTCTCTGGAGGTGGAATCTCTTCAACACTGACATCTGGTTCTAGACTCTCTGGAGGTGGAATCTCTTCAACACTGACATCTGGTTCTAGACTCTCTGGAGGTGGAATCTCTTCAACACTGACATCTGGTTCTAGACTCTCTAGAGGTGGAATCTCTTCAACTGACATCTGGTTCTAGACTCTCTGGAGGTGGAATCTCTTCAACACTGACACCTGGTTCTAGACTCTCTGGTTCTAGACTCTCTAGAGGTGGAATCTCTTCAACACTGACACCTGGTTCTAGACTCTCTGGAGGTGGAATCTCTTCAACACTGACATCTGGTTCTAGACTCTCTGGAGGTGGAATCTCTTCAACACTGACACCTGGTTCTAGACTCTCTGGAGGTGGAATCTCTTCAACACTGACACCTGGTTCTAGACTCTCTGGTTCTAGACTCTCTAGAGGTGGACTCTCTTCAACTCTGACACCTGGTTCTAGACTCTCTGGTTCTAGACTCTCTAGAAGTGGACTCTCTTCAACTCTGACACCTGGTTCTAGACTCTCTGGTTCTAGACTCTCTAGAGGTGGACTCTCTTCAACACTGACATCTGGTTCTAGACTCTCTGGAGGTGGAATCTCTTCAACACTGACACCTGGTTCTAGACTCTCTGGTTCTAGACTCTCTCCAACAGTTTACAACCAGAGGAGACTGAATGAATGTGAGTATATGAGATCAGATATAATGTAACTACTGTACGTGCAAATATTCTTGTTAAATGACTTAAAGTAAAGGCAGCAAATCCAGGAGGAGACATCAGTATGTGAGTCAGTGAGCAGCCATTTTGTCTCCCTGCTTCAGCTAATCAGGTATTATGTACTTGATGAGGTGTAATTCAGGTCAACGTGTAAGAGTCAGGGAGCGCCTTATTAGAACCACTACACAGAGACCAACGCTCTCATGCACTACCACAAGGCACATGACTGATCATTCCCCGGTGGCTGTGTGTGTGTGTGTGTGTGTGTGTGTGTTGGGGTGTGTGCGTCTAGATGTGTGTGTGTGTGTTAGTGAGTATGTGCCTGTTGTAGTGGGGGAGGGTTTTGGTGGACTGATCTTCAAATGGACAGAACTTGTATAGCGTTTTTAGATGGTCAGAAAATCAAAGTATTATTTGATTGGCTAGAAGCAGACAGACAACATCCTCTTGTCTCGCTGGCATTCTGATGACGCCACAGTGAGGCTCCTTGTCATGTTGGCGAGAGTGGAGACCGCACCATGGCGATAGCTACATTCACTGTAAACTCAGCCGACCCGTGACCGCACCATGGCGATAGCTACATTCACTGTAAACTCAGCCGACCCGTGACCGCACCATGGCGATAGCTACATTCACTGTAAACTCAGCCGACCCGTGACCGCACCATGGCGTTAGCTACATTCACTGTAAACTCAGCCGACCCGTGACCGCACCATGGGGTTAGCTACATTCACTGTAAACTCAGCCGACCCGTGACCGCACCATGGCGTTAGCTACATTCACTGTAAACTCAGCCGACCCGTGACCGCACCATGGGGTTAGCTACATTCACTGTAAACTCAGCCGACCCGTGACCGCACCATGGCGATAGCTACATTCACTGTAAACTCAGCCGACCCGTGACCGCACCATGGCGATAGCTACATTCACTGTAAACTCAGCCGACCCGTGACCGCACCATGGCGATAGCTACATTCACTGTAAACTCAGCCGACCCGTGACCGCACCATGGCGTTAGCTACATTCACTGTAAACTCAGCCGACCCGTGACCGCACCATGGCGTTAGCTACATTCACTGTAAACTCAGCCGACCCGTGACCGCACCATGGCGTTAGCTACATTCACTGTAAACTCAGCCGACCCGTGACCGCACCATGGCGATAGCTACATTCACTGTAAACTCAGCCGACCCGTGACCGCACCATGGCGTTAGCTACATTCACTGTAAACTCAGCCGACCCGTGACCGCACCATGGCGATAGCTACATTCACTGTAAACTCAGCCGACCCGTGACCGCACCATGGCGTTAGCTACATTCACTGTAAACTCAGCCGACCCGTGACCGCACCATGGCGTTAGCTACATTCACTGTAAACTCAGCCGACCCGTGACCGCACCATGGCGTTAGCTACATTCACTGTAAACTCAGCCGACCCGTGACCGCACCATGGCGTTAGCTACATTCACTGTAAACTCAGCCGACCCGTGACCGCACCATGGCGTTAGCTACATTCACTGTAAACTCAGCCGACCCGTGACCGCACCATGGCGATAGCTACATTCACTGTAATCTCAGCCGACCCATGACCGCACCATGGCGATAGCTACATTCACTGTAAGCTCAGCCGACCCGTGACCGCACCATGGCGTTAGCTACATTCACTGTAATCTCAGCCGATCCGTGCAAATGGAGGTTGCTCTGGTCCTTCCTCCCAGGTCCTGATGGATGGAGCTATGGTGCGTTGGGGTGGAGGGAGGGGCTGAGGTCATTTGAATCTGGGAATCGATTGCTCTGTGGCGGTTGCAGCGAGCAGGATGTCAGCACCATTCCTCAGGAAGCCAGAGGGAAAGGCTCTATGTTCCTGTGACAGGCCTATTAGCGCCCTCTGAAACGTGTGGAACAGAGCCGGGGGCAGGAAGCCGTTCCCATGGAGATGAACACACAATTGAAACCTCTGCCGTGCTGGAACCTGGGACGGGAGCAACGCACTGAATATTGTAGATAGAAATGCCACCAATAGAACGTATATGATCGCTTGCTCTACATGTCAGAGGCATATGTGTTCTACACAATATATTTCTGTTGAAACATTCCATTGAGTTCAATTGAATGCAGAAGTGGATGTGAATGCTTTATAACGACCGTGCTTCTGTTACAAATGTTAACTGGCAATTTGTATACCTCACTGACATCACCATGTGATGTCCACACAACTGAGGCGATCTATTCAGTTGAACTTCTCAGTCTGCTGCATATTCTGAATGGCAGCTACTGAGGTCTGCTTCTCCTGCCTAACCAACCAGTACTATCATGCTGCTTCTCCTGCCTAACCAACCAGTACTATCATGCTGCTTCTCCTGCCTAACCAACCAGTACTATCATGCTGCTTCTCCTGCCTAACCAACCAGTACTATCATGCTGCTTCTCCTGCCTAACCAACCAGTACTATCATGCTGCTTCTCCTGCCTAACCAACCAGTACTATCATGCTGCTTCTCCTGCCTAACCAACCAGTACTATCATGCTGCTTCTCCTGCCTAACCAACCAGTACTATCATGCTGCTTCTCCTGCCTAGCCAACCAGTACTATCATGCTGCTTCTCCTGCCTAACCAACCAGTACTATCATGCTGCTTCTCCTGCCTAACCAACCAGTACTATCATGCTGCTTCTCCTGCCTAACCAACCAGTACTGTCAAGCTGCTTCTCCTGCCTAACCAACCAGTACTATCATGCTTCCACAAGGATCAATTTCCTTAACCAAAGCCTTAACTCAGGGATTCTACAAATGTGTCCTGTTTGAGTGGAAGTGAATGAGATGTTTTGTCACTACCAGTATAACTGATCAGTGTGTCCTCTCGGTAAAGAGCATGTGCCATCAAATAACAACTTCACCTCCGAACCGCAAGGCCGCACGTTTCTCGTAGCCGTGTTTTTCTCAGTTACAGTTATTGAGTCAACAAGCAGTTCACCTCAATACTACAGGTCGTTGTTACCGTCTAATGAGAAAACATACTATACCTCTCATAAGATAAAGATACAAGACAGCAAACAGTTCATACACTATATACAGTATTATAGAAATAACCCAGATACAAAATCATGGTGCTTTCTGACTGCACATGGTATAATAGTGCAATACAATTAGAGTTCTGCACAGTACAGTACATTATAGTTCAGTATCTATAGAGTCATGTACAGTTGTCCAATGTTAGAGCTAGGGTTGCAAAATTCCGGTAACTTTCCCCAAAATTCCCTGTTTTTCCTAAAATCCAAATTTAGAAGATTCCTGGAATAAGGAGAGCATATTAAACAGGAATTCCGTAATCCTCCAATCAGGATTTCTGGAAAACCTGGAATATTAATTGGGAAAGTGAACAGAATTTTATAGCGTAATATTGTGTCTCTATAGGGACTTACCTCCCTGTTCATCCAGCATAACCAGAGTCCTGATGCCAGCATCTTTACTCTACGCACCCCGGGTCAGAGAGACAGGGAAGAACAGAGGGGAAGAAGAGGTGAGATAAAACAGTTCAGTGTGAACAGAAGATAAATATAATATATATTATTATTATTATTATAATTATTAAATGGAGGGACACTGTGTTAATAAGATCAGTTTCTCAACAGCTGTTGATCCAGACATCAGATCATACATACAGCTGAGACCACTGCAAAATTACCAGTTTCTCTGGTCTTACTATGTATAGGATGTGTTTGGGTA